ATACAAAAAATTAGCTGGGCATGGTGGCGCGTGCCTGTAGTCCCAGCTACTCGGGAGGCTGAGGCAGGAGAATTGCCTGAACCCAGGAGGCGGAGATTGCGGTGAGCCGAGATCGCGCCATTGCGCTCCAGCCTGGGTGACAAGAGCGAAACTCCGTCTCAAAAAAAAAAAAAAAAAAAAAAAAGAAAAGCGCAGGCACTAACAGAACAAGTGCCCATCAGGCTGGCAACCATCAGAGAGGGGCAGACCTCGGGAACCGCGAAGGATGCCCTGGTTTTGCCGCTGGAGTCTGCCCTGGCAGTGCCGGCCACAGGTCACACCGCTGGGCTAATCGGCTCTTTCTGGAAAGCAGTTTGGTCGTGAGTGGCAGAGCTTCAAAAGGCTTCATCCCTTTGCTGTGGTGATTCTACTTCTAAGGACCAAGTATAAAGAAATAATCCAAGGCGGGGCACAGCAGCCCATGCCTGTAACCCCAGCACCTTGGGAGGCCAAAGCAAGAGGACAGCTTGAACCCAGGAGGTCAAGGCTGCAGTGAGCCGTGTTTATGCCATTGCCCTCCAGCCTGGGCAACCAAGGGAGACTCTACAGTAAGAGAGGAGGGAGGGAAGAGGGGACGGGAGGGAAGGGGAGGGAAGAGGGGATGGGAGGGAGGGGGAGGGGAGGGGAGGAGGGGGAGGGGAGGGGAGGAGGAAGAGGAGAGGGGAGTGGAGGGGAGGGGAGGGGGAAGGAGAAGGGGAAGAAGAGGAGAGGAGGAAAATAAAAGAAAACAAAAGAAAAGGGGGAAGGGGAGAAAGAAAGAGGAAAGGAGGGAGGGAGGGAGGGAGGGAGGGAGGGAGGGATGGAGGGAGGAATACAAGAGGCAGACGAACCATAAAGGAAACTATAAAACCATGTTCAGTGGGAAAAAAAGAATAAAACTACTCATAGATTTGGGGTGACTTTTATTTCCTTCTTTATTTGTCTTGTTTTTTAAGAGACAGGGTCTTACTCTGTCACCCAGGCTGGAGTTCATGGCACAGTCCTCGGTCACTGCAATCTCTACCTCCTGAGCTCGAGCGATCCTCCTGCTTCAGCCTCTGAAGAAGCTGGGACCACAGGCACACACCACTGCACCTGGCTCATTTATTTTTACTTTTCATGAGACGGGGTCTTGCTATGTTGTCCAGGCTGGTCTTGAACTCCTGGCCTCAATCAATCCTCCTGTGTCAGCCCCCAAAGTGCTGGGAATACAAGCATGAGCCCCCAGACCCCATCTCTCCTTCTCATTTTCCAAAGTGTCTACAATGAACAGGGACCACGTTTGTAATTAGCAAACAGGGAGTCAGTGTTCCTTTTGGCAGAAGGCAGAGGCTGCAAATCTGCTTCATGGTGTCCCTGGAAGGAGCGGAGGGCCAGTCTGAGGGGCGTTTCTGTCATCTAGACAAGGCACTTACACGGGTGACTTTGAGAGGACAGAAGGTTCTGGGTCAATGAGGTGAGGCTAGCTGAGGGGAAAGTACAGGCGGGTCTGTGGCGGCTCTGCGCGTCCCTTCATCTGCAGCACGTGGAGGCCTGGCTCACACGTGGGATGGGAAGCCACGTCGGGGCACACCTGCTGCTCCCTCTGAACCCTCCACGCCACAGTCTCAGGGGCGGCAGGGGCACCTGCCGGGTGAGTGCGTCTCACGGTCAAACAGCCCGGGCTCTTCCAGATACTCTCAGCTAAAGCAAATATACCACCCTCTCCATCTCAGTCTCTCCCGCTGCAGAATGGGGGGACTCACTGCAGCCACAACTGTGCACGACACTGGCCTGGCACAAAGGTTACTTAAGACCAGCCAGATGTCCTGACACAGGGCTGTTTGAATTTTGCTGAGCCTTCTGCGTGTGCGAAGCTGGTCTCCTGTGTCTAAGAACCCCCACCGCCTTATCACCTCCGAATCGGGGTGAGGTGACGCCTGGGAGGGCAGGCCACGTGTCTTGTTCCTTGCTGGGTCTCTGGCGCCTGGCCCACCCTGGAACGCGCTTGAGACACAAATAAGTGGGTGAATGAATGATGCTCCCGGGTGCCTACTGCCTGCGCCTTGGATGGGACAGCTGCCATCTGCTGCCGCCTGCTGACCTGATTTCCAGCCACCTCCGGCACAGCGCTGGGCCCAGGCACTGTCCTAAATCAAACCAGGAACGTGCTGTCCTGACCACCTGGTGATGTGCTTGTTCTCCCGGATCCTTGGCACCTGCTGGAAACGCTTCCCTGGAAGATGGCACCCCCTCCCAGGCTCCTTCCTTTCCCCAGCTGAGCCTCAGCATCTGTGCTGAGCTGCGTGAGGCCTGGGAAGCTGAGGCCGTGTTAAGAGGCTGCGTCCGCGGTGAGGCATGGAGCTCATGTCATGAAGGCAGGAGGAGCTTCGCGGGGGCGGGTGGGATGTCCACTGCCTCTCACCTGGGCAACCCCCACCCGCAGCAAAAGATGGGCAAGCCCCAAACCAAAGACACCCCCCTTATCCTGTTCAAAGAATTTCTGATGGGTTCACATCAACTTGGAGAAAAACGATCCACTTGCCAGTGAACTAGGCCTGAGCCCCTGAGGAAAAGCCCCCACTAGTTGGGGAAAAGACTCCGGCCGACATGGCCAGAAACCTTAGGCTGCATCACAAAAACAGCCTCACCCAAAAGAGGAGAGGCTGTCCGCGGAGGCTGCTCAGGGTGCTGGCACCTCTGTGACAGCAAAAGCCTGGAAACAACCCCAGGCCAGCACTGGGGCCTGAGTGCACGCCGGGCCAGCTTCACATGGGTCCCTGCCCGAGGTGAAGGCAAGCAGGGACGTCTCTAGTGAGCATGGGGGAGGCTTGGACAGGAGGCCAGGAGAGCCAGGTGGAGGCCAGTGTCTGCAGCAGGGGGCCGTTCGCCAAATCCGGGGAGGGGGACACACGAGTGTGTATCTGAACATCGGCTCGTGTGTCCTTGCTTGCATTTTTGAAAGTTGAAGGATATCCTATAAAACAGTCTTAAACCGTTCCCTTCGGGGCAGAGGAGAAAAGGTTCCTGCAGACAGACTCCTCTGGGACTCTTATTTACAGATTCGACTGGGAACCACACAAGGATGAACTTCAATCCACCATCAAGGGCAGTCTCTACACACGTAATGCTGAATGCCACCAATGAAACTGCTGTGAGGACACGGTGTGCAGGACACTAAAGCCATCGGCTGACTGCTGGCAAGTGGGGTGTGCCCCAAGGACAAAGACAGTGACCGGTGTAAGGAGGGACGTGGAGACTGGAACTCCTGTCCACGGCTGCCTGGATGCCAACTGCGGCCACGTAGGAAAGTGACCTGGCAGCTCCTCACCATGCCAAACGCGATGACCATATGACCCACAATTCCGCTCCCAGGGAGCCACCCAGATGAGCTGAAGATGCGACTCTGCACAAAAACTCCTACAAAATTATCATCACAGCCAAAATGTACAAACAACACATCCATCATCCACCGGGGAATGAAGACACAAGACGGCCTCCCCACGCAGTGAGCATGGTTCAGCCATAGAAAAGCTTCCACACGGTGGCCCCACACATGTCATGCTCGGTGGAAGAAGCTGGCCCTGGAGGTCACACACCACAGTTGTTCCCCGACTTAGTCCATCGTGTCCTAAGTCAGAAATGCATCTAACGCTCCTAGCCTTCCAAACGCGGAAGGACGGCTCCTGCTGGTTCGAGCCACCTTCCTGCCATCGTAAGCCGGGAGCCACCGTATGGGAGAGTGTTCATAGGAAATGTCCAGAAGAGGCAAATCCATCGATGAAAGTAATTGAGGCTGCCAGGGCCTGGCAGGGAGCGGGGAGGGATGCCGGGAGCCAGGGCCAGCCCACCCAGCCCACAGCACAGGAAAGAGCCACAGGGAGGCCCGGAGTGGGCAGCAGAAAGGAAAAGGAAGCATGGGCAGAGCAGCCTGGCCATTGCAGGGCCCTGGTGACTTCTGCTCCTCCAAACAGCCCACAACCTGGGAGGGCGCAGCACAGGAAGGAGGCGTCTGCCCTGTACCCAGAAGCCCCTTCCCTGTGTGGGGCCCCCTCCTGGGTCTGCCTGCCGTCCTCCAGTGCAGCCCTCACTCCTGCACCTGTGACCCCACCTCAGTCTCCATCTGCTGCTCAGCTCCCACGGCTCCTAGGAGGCTTTTCTGGCCTCCAGTTGAATCCCCTCCCCTCCCCATCCTCCCTCTCCCTTCCATGATAGAGAGGCCTATAGTCGTGGTCACAGCCAGGGTGGGAGCCCTGCAGGGTGGGGTCCTGGCAAGGGGGCCGATGGCCCTGACAACGCAGCCATGAGTGACACTGGGCTGGGCCAGCCCCTGCCTTTCCCTGTCTCTAGTGTGGTGGATGGGAGCCCACGAGAAGAGACCGGAGACCTCCCAACCTCCCCGCAATGCAGGGAAAGGAGGAGAGAGTCCTGGGAAGGGCAGAGGCCCTGGGAACGCCCCTGGGCATTTGCCTGCAGCTGGTCTCAGGACCCCTCATAGCCCCGGGCTCCATGCCCACGGCCAAGGGTCTGTGTCTTGTTTCAGCCTGGTGCAAGTCAGGTGGCCACGGTGGTCAGCAAAGAGAAGTGGGCAGTGTGCTTGGATGTGGCTCAGGGTGAGGGGCCAGGCACCAGCACACAGCCCACCACACTGCCCTGAGCAGGCACACGTGGCTCACACCGGGGGCGGGGTGGCCGGGGCTGTAGCAGGTGGGCTGAGGGCTCGGCACTGTGACCATGTCACCTGAAAGGCACCTGTAACATCGGAATCAGGGAAGCGGCCGCTGGCACACGTTTCCTGGTGCCCAATATCCCACAGGGCAGGGGCCTCTGCAGCCAGCCCGGATCCTGCCCCTCCTCAAACAGACCCCACACCTGGTCACGGTCCAGCACTTGTTGATGGCCAAGACAGCCCAGGTGGAAACACTGCAATGACTGGAGAATGCGCCAGCACCTGCCCCCAGCGCAGAGGACCAACCCAGTCCCTGGGCCAGACTGGCTCTTACCTGGAGCCCGACAGGGGCTGAGGCACCTCCTGGGCCGAGGGGCTGCTGGCATCCGGTTCTCTGGCCTCCGGCTCCAGCTGACCTGCAGCCCTGGCCTCTCCTTGCGGCCCATTTGCTGTGTCCACTTGGGAACCTGAGGTGGGAGGCAGGCACTTGTTGGAAGTGGGGGCTTTGGGCTCCTGCCCGTCGAAGACATCTTCTGCGGGTGGGGGCGCCTCCCCCTGTCTCTCAGTGGCCCCGTCGCTGGCCTTGGCTAAGCTGGCAGCATATGAGGCACCAATGACGCCTCCCGGGCTGCACTTCTCCTGCAGACGCTCCACCACGTCCTCCCTGCTGTCCCCGCAGCTCCCACAGCACACGCAGGAGTGCAGCAGGCAGTTGGTGGCTGCGGCGCTGAGCTTGTGGGGGCCGCCATCCCCCTCGGCCACAGGCTCCGAGGCAGTCTCCTGGGTGGCGACGGCAGAGTCCGAGGAGGTGGGCGACTTGGGGTTGAAGATGACCGTGGCAGAGAGCTTCATGCCCCCTGTCCGGTGGGCGATCATCTCTGCCGTCTCCGCATCTTCGGCACCCACCTCCCAGCCGTCCAGGTGCACCCGCGAGTCCAGGCAGCTGCAGGAGCTGGAGCCCGCAAGGCTGGCCTTGCCCGCACCCTGGGCCTCGGGGTGGTTGTTGTTGCTCAGGTCCTGCTCCTTTTCCGAGGCAGGAACGTCCACCCCCACTGCGCCGCCCGGACCACCCTGCCCTTTCTCCTGGGGGTCGGCCTGGGCACTGCTGGCCCACCCAAATCGGCCACCTGGGGACTTGGGCCTGGCCGGGGCTTCTGCCGACCCCTCCACATCATCCATGAAGAACATGCGATCCTCCTCATCACTGCCCGACTGCAGGCGCACTCTGCCTGGAGAGGCCTCCCCGCCCGGGCTGCCCTCGGGTCCCGGCCTGTGTGCGGGGGACTGGCAGGCACTGGGTGGTGACAGCAGAGAGGACATCTCGTCCCCTGCCCTGTGGACCATGCGGCTGAGCTGTTCCAGCTCCTGGTCGTCGTACTGCATGGAGCAGGCCAGCTCTGCATCTGGGTCTTTGGCCTTGGCTGAGAGTGGCCCCTCGGGAGGGAGAGGAGCAGAGAGGGCAGGTGCCAGGGCAGTGGGCCCTGGCACGTCAGCGCGGATGGGAAACTCCACGTCTTGGGAAATGCAGAGGTTCCGTTCCAGCGTGTGGAGCTCCTCCTCCGTCAGTGTCTGGAGCAAATCCCTATGAATCAAGACAAACACCAGGGTAAGGGTCCCAAAAACCACAGCACCCTGGAATCTGCACCAGCAAAAGAACGAGTCACTGAACACTTGCAACTGAATTCACACGGCACCAGCACGTCTCCTCCAGCACAGAACAAGGCTCAGGTCTCGCCGGCCAGGACAATGGTGTGTGAGGTGGCCGGCTGAGATTCTAGTAGTTTCTTTTTAAAAACAAGATTCTGGAACATTTTGTAGAACACAAGAGAGCCCTGATTCTCAGGCATGTGTTAGTTGCATGAACAAAAACTCTGAGTAGTGAAAAAATACATGCTGGTTTACACACAGACCTTCATCCTTTCACTCCGCAAACACCACTGGGCACCGGCTAAGAGGCAGGAACCGGGGGTCAGGACACAAGGAAGAAGGTGGGCGAGCCTCTGCCCTTGTGGGCTTAGCCTTGCAGCTGGGTGAGGCAGATGACAAACAAGTATTTACACAAACAATGATGGAACTACAATCACGACAGCTGCAACCAAAGAAAATCCAAGCCATGAAGGAGGGTGCAGCCGGGCACCCGGCTGAGGACAGGAAGGCTTCCTGGAGGAAGGGGCATTGAGGCTGAGACCCAAAGGTGCAGTGAATTCAGCAATGCTGGGCAGGAAGCACCTGGAGCAGGCTCCCACAGGCCGACTGCGGGCTGCTCTCTGCTGGGAAAAGCTCCGGCTGTGTCTGTGGTCTGAGTCCCACATGGCATGTTCCAGCACAGCCATGGCCTTCATGAGGGAGTGTGATTTGCAGAGCTGAGCAGAATTTTCATAAGCTGAACCCACCCATGTGAAGAGCACCCAGGTTGAGAAGTGAAGCCCCACTCGGGACCCGGGACCCGGCACCCTGGCTCCTGCATGACACCATCCTCACTCCATAGGCCGAGCCAGGCACCTGCTCTTGTTCTCTGGAGAATGGGAATTCTCAGTCTACACTGGCAGGGTTTGTTTGCTGATGTTATATTTGTGTAGAATCTCCACATAAAATACAGGACACTCAGTTAAATTTCAGTTTCAGATAAACAACAAATATGTACTTTTAAAGTGTCATTAGAAATAGCTGTAAGTGTAAGTATATCCCAAATGTTGGCCAGAGTTTGTTGTTGTTGGAAACAGATGCTCAGTGCCGCAAGGAAAAATCAGCACTGAGACAAAGGATCTCCCAGCAAGGCAATTTTACTTTCTGCAGAAAGGGTGCTCTCATTAGCCATCTTGCCACGAGACTACAATGAACAAAGGAAAAGCAGACATATTTGTCTTTATACATTTGGGGTTGTCCTTACTGCTGTGTCTGATCTCCATTGGTTGGAGCCAGACCTCACAATCCAAAACTGAACTTGATTGGCTAATAACTTAAAACTTTTCTAAACAGGTAAAAGCAGTGGAGAACAAAAAGGACGTCTAAATAAGGAAGGGACAGGAAGTTGCTTGTGATAGGACTTAGAAAATTGATAACAATCTTGGTTAAAGCACAAGGACATAGAATGTACTATGTGCCTGTGAGCGTGTCTAGCACACATAGCTTGGTTAAAGCACAAGGACATAGAATGTACTTATTCTTTTATATCTAACAGCTACATAGGATAGGGCTTAACAAAGAGTCAGTAGTGAAAAGCAAGAAGACTTTGAAGGAAGTCTTTAAAAGAGACTATTATTTCTAACATTTATTATTATTCTTTAACAAGAAAGGAAACTTGGAAGAGGAACTTTTCTACTTCCCACAGTTGTTTATCTGAAATTCCAACTGAACTGGCCTTTCTGCTGTTGCATTGCTAAATCTGGCAATGCTATTTCATAAGATTCACCCATAACAAAGCATGTTGCCACAGGTCATTCATTCTCATGGCTGCACCATGTTCCATGGGGTAAATATGCTGTAGTTCCTTTATCTGTTACACCTGACGGGTTTTGGTTGTTATCCAGCATCTTCATGCATCTCTCTTGAAGAACACACACGTGCATCTCTACTGAATGCATATATGGGGTGGGACTGCTGAGCCAGACAGCTGGGAGCAGCCTGGATTCAGCCACGCCTGCCCACAGCTTGGCTGACAGCATGGCTTTCCCCAGGCCCATGAGAATGTCTAGTGTCTTTAACTGAATCCTTCCTGGTGAGTGAGTCATAGCATATTATCTTACTGTGGCTTTTCACTGTTTTAGCCTGATGACCAATGAAGTCGGGCACAGTTTATATCCTTATCAGCCCTTAGGTTTTCTCTATGTGAACTTCCTGTTCAAACCTTTTGCCCATTACTAATTGGGTTGTGTGCCTTTTTCTTATTGACTGAAGGGAGTTCTTTACTAGATATATTCTCCAAATCTTTGGCTTGCCTTTTCATTCCCTTAATGGTGCTTTTGATGAACTGAAGTTTTAAATTTTAATAAAGTCCAATTATAACATTTTTTCTTTATGATTAATGCTTTGTGTCCTGTTTAAGAACTCTTTACCCACTCCAGGGTCACAAAGATGTTCTCCTTGACATTTTTCTCTAAAAGCTTATGATTATTATCATTATTATTTTGAGACAGAGTCTTGCTCTTTCACCAGGCTGGAGTGCAATGGCAGGATCTCAGCTCACTGCAATCTCTGCCTCCTGGTTCAAGTGATTCCCCTGCCTCAGCCTCCTGAGTAGCTGGGACTACAGGTGCACACCACCATGACCAGCTAATTTTTTGTATTTTATTATAGACAGGGTTTCACCATGTTAGCCAGGATGGTCTCAAAATTTTGACCTCATTATCCGCCTGCCTCGGCCTCCCAAAGTGCTGGGATTACAGGCATGAGCCACTATGCCCGGCTGCTTTTTATTATTTTTTAAGACACAGTCTTGCTCTGTAGTCCAGATCTGTGGTGATCATGGCTCACTGGAGACTCAAACTCCTAGGCTCAAGTGATCCTCCTGCCTCAACCTCCTGAGTAGCTGGGACTACAGGTGCAGACCACCACACCTGGCTAATTATTTTTAATTTTTATTTTTTTAGAGATGGGGTCTCACTATCTTGCCCGGCTGGTTTTGAATCCTGGCCTCAAGTGATCCTCCCACCTTGGCCTCCCAAAGTGCTGGGATTACAACAGGAGCCACCATGCTTGGATTTTATTGTTTTACTTTTTATATTTATATCTACACTCTGTCTGGAATTGGTTTTTGTGTACAGTAGCAGTAAGAACCCAGATGCTAATAGATACCCATATGAGACATTTTTTTCATGTGGTCCTCTATTGACTCGGCCCATTTATTGGAAAGAAAAACCACCATTCCCACTGTTCTGTAATGTCACATTGTCATAAATCAGGGCCTGTATATGCATTGGTCTGTTCTAGACTTTCCACTCTATTGAATGGGTCTCAAGTCCAACCTTGTACTATGGCTTTCACAATAGAAGGTGTCTCCAACGTTTTTTTTCCCTTGTTTTTTTTTAGAAATGAGGTCTCGTTCTGTTACCCAGGCTGGAGTTCAGTGGTATAAACACAGCTCACTGTAGCACTGACCTCCTGGGTTCAAGAGACCCTCCCAAATCAGCCTCCTAAAGTGTTGGGATCCTAGGCATAAGCCACTGTGATGGCCTTTGTTCTTTTTTTTATGAAGTATACACAGCAGAAAAGCATACACGTGTTCACCTGGAGACACACGCAGGGATAGTCACAGAGCACTATTTGTGGAGACTACTCAAAGCCCATCGAGAGGAACAGACAATGTTCTGCTGCTGCTACTTGCCGATTCCAGGCCCCTTGCATCTCCACATGCATTTTATAATCAGTTGTCAATTTCTACAAGGAAGGAAGGAAGGGATAGGGGAGGGGAGGGAGGAAGGAAAGAGGGAGGGAAGAGAAGGGAAGGCAGGAAGGAGGGAGGGAGGGAGATGGGAAAGGGAGGGAGGGGAAGGAAGAGGTGGGAAGGGGAGGGGAAGGGAGGAAGAAAAGGAAGGAAGGAGGGAGGGAACTTCTGGAATTTTTATTGAGACTGCATTGAACTCATAGATTAATTTGAGAATAACTATCTTCATAACATCAGGCTTTCCTCTCTGAATGGAATTGCTGTCTAGAGCTTTAAAAATGTATGTTAATAACATAACTTTCAATGGAGGTCTTAGACAGCTTTAATTTGACTTATGCTTATGTATTTGATATTTGCTGGTACTACCATAGATGGTATTTGCTATGATTTGGAGGTGGTTTGTCCCTGTCAAAACTCAGGTTGAAATTTAATTCCCAATGTGACGGTGTTTAAAACGGTGTCTTTAAAAGGTGATTAGGTTGTTAAGGAGTTGAATGCCTTTCTCATGAGACCAGATTAGTTACCGTCAGAGTGGGCTGTCGTGAAGTGAGGCTGCCTCTCTTGTTGGGTCTCTGCACACGCCCCCTTCCCCTGCTGCTTCTCTACCATGTTACGACAGAGCACGAAGCCCTCACCAGAAGGTAACTGGATGCAGCCACTTGATCTTGGACCTCCCCACCTCCAGAATCATGAGCTAAATGAATCTCCTTTCTGTATAAATTACTGAGTCTCAGGTATTCTGTGATAGCAACACGAAATTGACTAAGTATTTTGATTTCATTTTGCACTTATTTATTGCTGGCATAAAGACCGTTTATTTTTATATGTTGATCTTTCACCTAATGACCTTCCTAAGTCTACTTATAATTTCTAATAGTTTCAAGATGTTTCTGAGTTTCTGAGGGACTTGATCATGTTATCTACAGAAAATGGCAGTTTTAGTCCTTCATTTCCAATGCTGTGTAACGTGCGATTGTTCCTTTTATTTTTGCCTTTTTTTTTTGCATTTGATAGGCCACAAGACAATGTTAAATGGAGATAGTGAATAGTAAACATCTTCCCAATCTCAGGGATGTCTGCCATGGTACACACACAACAGACACACACACAGATCTACACAGACGAAATCTGTATCTCTATCTACCTATCTGTAGCCAGATTAAGGAAATTCCCTCCTATTTCTAGTTTGCTAAGAGATG